TAGGGGGGTCAAGGGACGAGGAAGAAGTGACACTTCTCTGAGTATATCTTTCTGCGAAGTTCAGACATCTAGAACCATAGTAACTTTTCACATATGTGCCTTCCACATACCAAAATATAAACAAAACCAATCAGGATGTGAAGAGAACCCTAAAACAGAATGCAAACACTGAAAAATATACCTAAGTGTACTACAAATGAGCAAAATAACCATAGTAAATAGGGTGGGGAGGAAAATAACTTAGTATCTTGACTAGATGCTATAAAACTGAAGACAAAAAGAACTGAACACAAACATAAAATGAACATAAACCAAACATACATCTATTTAGATGTGTTTCTCAAAGGGACATGGGTTAGCAAGTTTGAAACTCCTAAAACTGAAAAAATAAATATATTATAGATGAGAGATGTTACAAATTTTAAAAAGCTAAATGACCATGGTGTTGGACCAGAATCAGAGGTATCAGCATAAACTCATGGTTTTTAATACAGAGACACAGTAATACAGATGTGTGTATTCATGGGTTAGTACATGACCATATACTTCCTCCCTCCGTCTGCTGAGAAGGCCTAGAAATAATGACACTTCAGTAGCAATGATCACACCAAGTAGCAGACCTTGTTTTCTACACCATTCTTTAACAAAAGGAACTGGGGATCCTTGGAGGAATGGGAGACACAGAAAATTCAAGGTGAGCCTGAAGCAACTTGTGGTATCTGAAAGTAAGGAAGTGCTCAGAAAAGGATGGGGCTTGTCAAAGGAACACGGGAGCCAACCAGAAGAAAGGAGTGCCTAATGGCCAAAGCTGGAACAATTTGAGCAACTATGGATTTTATCCCATAGAATAAATATCCATGAGTCCATACATACATACATACATACATACATACATACATACATACAGAGAAGGGACAGCTCTTCATTGCAACAGAATTCCAAGTAATAAATGTAGAAGGAAAGAAGAAAATAAAAAATCAACATTAATTGAAGATCACAGTGATAACTGATGCTGACAAGATCCACCAACGAAAATAAAATTAGTGTGCAAAAATTTAAAGAGAAGCAGCGTATTTGCATAGCCTCAAAGTATCTCCTCCAAGATATTTAACAACTACAAAGGGAAAGATGGTAACTTTACAAGGGAGAAATCCCATGGATCCCACCTCAACCAACTAATTGAGGTTAACATCACAAGACATATTGGCATGATGAACTCCTTAATATAATACGGAGAAGACCACAAACTCATTTCTGTTGTATTCTTAGCAAAAATGCATAACTTTATTCCAATCATGAGAAAAACATCAAACAAACTCAAATTGATAGACCATCTACAAAACAACTGACCAATCTTCTTCAAAAGGGTCAAGGGCATGGAAAACTGAGGAACTGTCAAAGACTGGAGGAGACTAAGGAGCCCTGACAAGTAAATGCAGTGTGGGTCTCCAAACGGACAAAGGACATTAGTGAAAAAAGGGTGAAATTCGCACGAGATCTGTGTATTAGTTGACAGCATTCTGTCAATGTTAACTTCTTGATTTTGATAACTAAACCCTGACATATAACATGCTAAGATTAAGGGAAGCTGGGTGAGGATACACAGAAACTCTTGGAACTATTTTTGCATCTTTTCTGTATGTCTAAAATTAGTTCAAATTGAAGATTAAAAAAAAAAAAAAAAGGTGAGCTCTCCTGAAAGAGAGAAAGGGGACGTGGGTAGTGAGAGAGAGGTAGAATTAAGAGGAGAAGCAGCCTATTAAGAGTCGTGAAGGCTCATTCGGTAGCGGCCGGGGGGGCAGGCCATTTTACACCTGCGTGAAGAAAGGGCCATCTCTTGACTTCTTATGTTTATTCTCCCATGTTTCAGAAAGTCAGGAAGGTTTCAGCATTTGTAAGAAATAGTATTAAGTTGTGCTGTCCAATATGGCAGCCACGAGGCACAGAGGTGGCTACTGAGCACCTGTGGCTAGCCAACAAGGAGATGGGCTAGCAGAGCAAATATATGCTGGATTTCAAAGACTTAGCACAAAACTGAAACACAGAATGTAAAATGTCTCCATACTTTTTATACTAATTACACATATGTTGGATAGATGGGTTGGATAGATGGGTTAAAATATATCACTAGGGCACCTGGGTGGCTCAGTTGGTTAAGCGACTGCCTTCGGCTCGGGTCATGATCCTGGAGTCCCCAGGATTGAGTCCCACATCGGGCTCCCCGCTCAGCGGGGAGTCTGCTTCTCCCTCTGGCCCTCTCTCCTCTCATGCTCTCTCTCTCTCTCTCTCTCTCTCAAATAAATAAAATATTAAAAATAAAATAAAATATATCACTAAAATTAATTTCACCTATTTTGCTTTACTATTTCATAGGACTACCAGAAATTTTTAGAATTTTGTATGTGGCTCTCATTATGCTTGTACTGGAAAGCACTCGTTTAAGTCCCAGGAAATGGAATGCTTGCCAAGTTATCGATGCATACAGTAGGAATCTAAGGCTCTGATAACTACCCAAACACTGCTCAAACCACCTGGATTTCAGGAGACTTGGAGTTGTGTTTCTTTGCAAACCAAAGAGTCTTATCTGGAAATCCTTTTTCTTGGGCATTTTCTGGCTGGAGAAGTGTAAGGAGAGCACAGTGATTGGAGGCACAGATTTTAACCGTAAATTACCAGGCTAACGAGAGCTTTAGCACAGAGGTGTGCTGGAACCAGCTCACACCAGTCCACAAGCGCCAACTGTCGAATATCTAGAAATGCTACAAGATGGTTGGTAAACATGGCCATTATTAACAACTAACTTATTTAAACTTACAATAAATAAATCATATTAAAAACAAAACTCATCACTTCCCAGTTATTTTACTATGCTTTGCTATTGTCTATGATGAGGTTTCTTTACATCTATCTTAACATGGATCTGTATGGGGGCACCTGGGTGGCTCAGTTGTTAAGCGGCTGCCTTCGGCTCAGGTCATGATCCCAGGGTCCTGGGATAGAGCCCCGCATCGGGCTCCCTGCTCAGCAGGGAGACTGCCTCCCCCTCTGCCACTCCCCCTGCTTGCATTCCCTCTCTCACTGTGTCTCTCTCTGTCAAATAAATAAATAAAATCTTTAAAAAATTGATCTGTGTGGTAAAAATACAATATGATGGTATGCTACTGCACATGTCCCAGCCCCATGTTCAAAGACATCACATTAATAGCTTGAAATCAACCATGGTGGGAGTATTTATACCAAGGAAATGGGCAAACACCACAATTCGGGGCTTTTCTTTTTGAAGACCCAGTTGTCAAACATTTGCCAGAAAACCATGGTCTCTCAGAGGGTACTAAAATTCAAAGGACACCAAAAAGACAGACAGTACCAAGAGCTGGCAAAGACTTAGAAAAATTAGAATCTTTGTGCATTGCTGGTGGGAGCATAAAATGGTTCAGCCACTTTGGAAACTGGTCTGGCAGTTCTTCAAGAGATTAAATATAGAGTTACCAAGTGATCCAGCAATACCATTCCTAGGTATCTACCTGAGAAAAATGAAAATATATTCCAAAAGCAAAGACATATATATAAAAATTCACAGCAGCATTATTCATAATAGCTGAACAAATGTCCATCTGCTGATGAATGGACAAATAAGATGTGCTTCATCTATACAATGGGATATTATTTGGTTTGAAAGCATGCTCGGTGAAGGAAGCCAGTCACAAGACTGTATGATTCCATTTCTATAAAATACCCAGAATAGGCAAGTCCCCGGACACAGAAGGTAGATTAGTGGTTGCTTAGGGCTGGAGAGGGAGGGGGAAATGGGGAGTGACTGTTAATGGAGACGAGGTTTCTTTTGAAAATGATGAAAATGTTTTAAAGGTTGATTGTGGTAATGGTTGCATAACTGTGAATGTACTAAAAACATGGATGTGGATGCTTTAAACAGGTGAATTATATGGTATATGGATTATATTTCAATAAAGCTCAAAACAGTATCTACAGCTCACCCTTTCTCCATTTGCCCAGATGTGGGTTCCTGGGACACAGTCCAGTGGGGAATAACATTAGAGAAATACCCCTCACTGTGCTCCTCCAGGACACGCTGAAGACACAAAACTCTAAGTTCCCAGGAGGACCCAGCAGGCTAGGGGTCACCAACCGGACGCCTCTGGGCTCTGTCTAGTCCATAGGCATGTTTAATTTTGAGCAGACATTTTATAATCATGAGTTGTCTTATTTTTTAAAAAAAAACATCTTTCCAACGTCTCCTGCCATCAGAAGATGGCCTAGTTCCCATGATCGGCAGGAGGCTGTGGCCACACCGAGCCAAACTCCCCAGCCCTCCCTGTCACCTCCCTTCCACGGGGGCTAGGAGTCCATTACCATTCATCATCACAGCTGTAACATTATTATAGAACAAAATGTGCCATCTCCATGGGTTTCCAGAAAGGCGAGAGGCATCAGAGAGCCTTCCTGTTTCACAGGCTAACAAGGTATGTCTGCATCAAAAGAAGCAGCTTATCCTTGCATGCATCAGCCTCACTCTTCGTCGTGGTCTGTCTGGCCCTGGTGAGTATGGTGGATGAAATCCCTGTGTTAGATTCTACAGTGGCCAAGAAGCAGGACCATGTCTGTGGTCTGGTTCACAGCGTATCTCTGGTAACAAGTGCAGATTTGACATGAAATAAAGCACTTAGTACCGCGTGATGAGGGCGAGAACAAGTGCAGCCAGAAGCCCCTGTCCTTGAGACATTCAATCCCACGGAAGCCACTGAAGCGGAAAGAGCACGTGGAACCCCGCCATTCTTCCTTCTCTCGCCACCCCCCACCCGTCTTTTCTGCGTACAGCCTGCCCTCCCCGTCATGCTTAATTCAAGGTGAGGTTTAGTCCTGAGCCTGTCCCAGGATGGATGGGAAAGACGTGCGGTCGGTCATGTGGGCTCTCTAATGCCTGAGGTCATCCAGCCCATAGCGCACCCTCCAGCCCATAGCGCACCCTCCAGCCTACTTACGCTTGATGAGGTATCCTGGGGAGGGGGCCGCGGCGACGACGTGGAGGACAGTGCAGCCATCCTCGTCCTTCTGGTTGATGCGGCCTTTCCACTCGGGCTTGTGGTCCATTAACCACCTGAAAAGATGGTTTTCCTCTGAAGGGAATTAAAATGAGTGACTGATGTTATTTTCTACAGACAGAAAATCAATAACGCACATCAGTGTGTAGCGCCATGAGGGAACCAAATGGGGAATCCCACACACGTTTGACACTCAACACAAATAGGCCCGGGAGACACAGAGTCTGTAAATTAAAAGGATGAATTCTAGAATGTTATTCATAATAAACTCAGCCAGTTTCCCTAGAAGCAGAGCCTGAGACAAGGATTCCTGTACATGTGAGTTATTGACAGGGAGCTCAGGAAAGAGACTGCGGGAAGCAGGACAAGGCAGGGGAAGGAGGCAAGCAGAGATGTGGTCTCAGCTGATTCGGCCTCAGCCCGATCCCACAGGGAGCTCTGGAGCATGAACAGCACCATTGCTGACCCACCATGAGGCGGGGGCTAACATTTTGTACCGCATGTCAGTTAGTCAAGAGCTACAAAACACCTCTAAGGAGGGGGTGAGGTTGAGGGAGAACCTCTGTAGGACATGGTGCATATTGGCAAAAAGCAGCCTCTGGGGAAGGAGGCAGCTGTGAACCGGCAGGGTGTGATGGGGGCCCTGGTGGTAAAGAGGCTCCAGGCAGGGCATCAACAGCACCCATGTCAGGAATCAGGTCAATATCTGAAAAGACTACCCTACTCATTACTATCGATAGGACATATATTTAAAAAATTATTTTCCCAGGCTCCTTCCTTGTAGCTCCTGGGCTCAAGGAATGCCACATGCTTCTGCCAACTCTGCAAACACCATTTGTCACCATGTCAGAGTTTTCCTCTGAGAAACAAATCAGGGATAAAGTTAAACAGCTGATCCTACTGATTCCTGCCTGTCCCCCCAGGAGCTAACGTAAAGAGCAGACACAGTGGGGAATCGTGACTCTCACAACCAGAGACACACTTCTCTGGGCTCCAGATTCCTACTTGAAAACTGGTAGGACTGGATCAGATTGCTTTTAATCAGACTTTACTTTTAAACCTTTGATCCGCCAATTCCTGTGTGAGAATAAAACATCTCATGGACTCCCCAGTAGGAAATGGATAACAGCAAGGCAAACGTGGCTAAAGCAAAGCAGCGGCCCAGGTCTTGAAGCCCCTGGCCAACCCCCTCACTCCTTCATTCCTGGGAAGGCAACCCAGCCTAGAAGAGGAAGACTGTCTAGAAAATTCTCTTGGCCCTTTCTGGCTCTAAAACAGTATGGGTACATGTCGAACGCTGATGCCAAACACGCTTGGAAAAGAAGAAAAACAAGCTTTTTTATCTAACGTGTGTATGTGATAATGAAAAAATTTAAATATTTTAAAATTTAAATCCTATCGCCAAGTGGTGAAGACTTAAAAAAAGAAAAAAAGAATTTTACGAACATCAGCGTTCTTTAGATGAACCACAAGCATTCTGTCTCAGCCAGAACCAGTGTTTCCCTTGGTATCAGCCCCCCCGCACCACCACCACCATGGCAGTCAGCCCTCTGGCTAGAGAGAAAATGAACTTGAACAAGGGGGAAAGACCACCTGTGCCTTGGCCAGCTGGAAGAAACTCCACAGCCTCAGGGAGCTCTGCCCAGCAAAGGCTGTCTGTCCCAAGTCCCCTGCATGGGTCTCAGGACTCCTCTACCCCTAGCATCTGTCTAGGAACACAGACTCCTTTCAACTTGGGCCCCGTAGCTACCAGGTCCCAGGTGAAATAAAAACAATGCTGTTTACCCGGCTGCCTGCATGCATTTGAATAATCAAACTATTTGCATATTCAGATCATTTGAATATTCCACCTTCAGGTGGCTAAATTCTGGTTTCTCTTGAGCTCAGCAGAGCACGTGGGAGCTCAGGGCTGGGAGGGCAGCTCGGACAGCGTGTAACTGGAAGAACACTCACTTGCTCGGATACAGAGTTGCATGAGGGCATGAAGAGGGTATGGTCCTATAGTCTCAATACTTGCACCAAGGCAGATGAGCCACTGAACTAATTTGGGCACCTGTTCCATCTTCTCATAAAGTCCAATGAAGACGTATTGCTGGGGAAAAAACACACAGGAAGAATCATGGAAGTCACTCCGTCAATATGAAACTTCAAACTCCTTCATTCATAACGTTGGGGTTCAGTAAAACCTGGATAGCTGTGGCCCAAGCCTGAGATGATTATAAATAATAAATTTGCAGTGAGACAGCTGAAGTCCCCTTATACAAGCTGAGGTCCCAAATATAAGCCTGAGTAGCCTGACTTGAAACCGTATGTTTTAAGAAGCCACCTTACCTCAAAGAGACTCTTCAGTGTTAACCCTGGGACATGGATATCTCTCGGTAGCCGGTCTTTTCTCGCCGACAGAAGTAGGAATGACTGATGAGAAGGGAGAAAAAGAAAAAGCTGGAATAATCATGTTCTCCACATAGATTATTAGAGCAAAAGTTATCTTCAGGGTTAAAACAAGCAAAAAAACAAAAAACAAAATACCCTCCAGCCCTCTCTTTTTAAGCTACCTGCCAACCTTTACAGCCTGAGCTATAATCGAAGTCCCTCTGTCCAGCCAATGTCCTGTTCCTGCTGAGAGCTAAGCTCTCTCCACCTTTCCTCAAAGCCTGCTGAGGATAGCAGCACCAGTGGGTAAAAAAGTGATTCTGTGCAAAGTTTTGAGGCTTACTTAGCAAGCAGAAGAATCCAATCCTTTACAAGTAGCTCCTTCCAATTCATTCTTTAGCACTTTAGTGTTTCATAAGCCCCAAGTGTTTGGGGTCTGCTAGACCCTGTCGAGGCAGCTAATGAGCACCAACTGCAGTTCAGAATTCCCAATGCCACATCCTGTAGCCCTATTAATGAATTCAGATTGGGCCACGGTGAGAGTATTGACACTACAGAAATTGACAAACATTTTTTTTCTCAGAGAGCCAGTTGTTAAACCACTGACGCTATCTAAAGTCACTGAAGAAACTGAATCCTGGAAAGGTTAAGCAATTTTTCCTAGGTCACACAGACAGCATGTCCTAAGAGGTCCCTACTGAAATCATCCAGGTGTGCCAACAGGTCTAAGGGCTCCAGGCTCTGGCATGGCCACAACTGGAGACCCAGGCTCAGCCTCAACCTCCATCATGTATGCACCTGCTAGTGGACGTGGGACCCCAGGGACTGAGCCAATGACCACATCTTGCTTCCGGGTTTTCAGCCTGATGCCCACTCTTTGCTGCTCGCCCTGAACAGACCCCAATCTCAAATGACATGCTCAGGATTCTGCCAATCCTGATTGCTGACCTGGCCTTTTTTTTTTTTTTTAACAAGATGTCTCTATTTCCAGTATGTGAAAAAAATGACTGGGGCCCCACAGCTGGAATATTGGACCAAGTAGACCTACCACTGGGCTGCATTCTCGGGCCTTCCCTTGCCTGCCTGCTTTCTCAAGAACTTTTAATATGGAAGTGAGCTTCAGGGAACTCATTGCTGGACTTTAGGGGATTTCCCATGAACCACCTGAAACTATACCCATAACTGTGTGTGTATGCAAAGAGAACCCCATCGATTTCATTAGATTTCCAATGGAATCCATGAGCTTTTTAAAAATTGAAGAATTCTGTATTCTAAAGTCATTTGCCCTGCCTGGCTCTAGAGAGCTTTTGGGTTGCCCTTGCTTTTGGTGACTTTTCTGCACTGCCCAGCTTTAGAAAGCCCAGCAGGCCCTTCCTGATCTAACTGCCAGCCTTGACCAGCCCTCTCCATGCTGACTGAGAGCCCACCATCAATGACAACTACTATTCACTGGGCATTCGGCGCACGCCAGGTATCATAAAGCTCTGTTAGCTCGGTGCTTGGCATACTGTAAGCCCGTGATAAACATTAGCTAATATTATTAGTAGGTGTTCTTGGTCCTTTATTTCTCATCCTCACCAAAACCCTGAAGAGTAAGTTTATATCCTGCATCTTACAAATGAGGAAATGAGGCTCAGAGGGGAAGTAATTAGCCCAAAATAGAAAGTGGAAGACTATGATTTGAGGAGGCATCTGTGTGACACTGAAGCCCAGGCTCACAGTCCACTCTGTTCCTCCATTCTCTGGATTCCCAGCCCTGGGTTTGGTTCCTGCAGCCTCACTATGATCTGTGGGCAGCAGTCCCTTAAAGCTACACAGACGCAGTGCGCCTGGCTGGCTCAGTCAGTTAAGCGCCTGCCTTTGGCTCAGGTCATGATCCCAGGCTCCCTGCTCAGCCGGGAGTCTGCTTCTCCTTCTGCTCCTCCCCCACCAACCCCCATGTTCACGCTCTCGCTCTCTCTCTCTCTTGCTCTCTCGTGCTCTCTCGCACACACGCACCCTCTCTCAAATAAATAAATAAAATCTTAAAAAAATTTTTTTTTAATTAAAAAAAAAAGCAGCACAGAATTGCTCAGAGCAACACAGGCAGGTCTTTTGAGCCCACACTAGCAAATGCAGTAAAAAAAAGATGATGAAGATGAACATGCAATCGTTTATTTTCCTCATTCCACATTATCATTAGCACTTGAACTTGACACTTCTGTGATGACAATGAAGACACAGAGCAATAAGGGAGATAATACATTATATATAATGTGATATATAATACATTATATAATATATATAGTATATATAATGTGATAATCTGAGGGTGATAAACATTAGCTAATATTATTATTAGGTGTTCTGAATATGTTTCCTATCTTTAAAAAAAAACAGAAACTGACTAATTAATATCTCTCAGTGACTTTCTATCTTTAATGATGGTGCAGTTAAAAAGTTATTTTGGCATCAAAATAAACAGATAATAAATTAAAATCCCTTCCCCAGTGCAGGCAGAAAAAATCCATTTAACCAAGAATGTACTTTCCCCACAAGAGAGCCATCTTCTTTTACTTACATGCCATAATCCTTTTTTTGCCAACTTTTCTATTACAGATTGCCACACTTCTGTTGAGAATCCGGTAGTAAAAATATGATCAAAACAGGGCAAGAAACTTTGCAAAACAATGGGGTCACCTGAAAGAAAGTTCCATAGTTTAGAAATTTTAACCCGGGCAGAGTCTAGAACATTTGGGAAAAGGTCCACAGATAGACAAATGGAAAATTAAAGATATCAGAAAGAGAGGCATTTTCAAAGTAAAAGTAAAGTCAAAGGCATTTTCAAAGTAAAAGTACTCTATAATGGAACGAAGTGGAAACACTTTAGGTTCATCTATAAACTCAATGCCCCAAGAGTTAGGCAGTGGGATTTAGCTCTTCCATATGCCAAGCCCCGCAATACGCGCTAATATTTAACCCCTCAAACAGACCAACAAGGCACTGCCCTATTATCTCCACTTATAGAGGAGGAAATAGAAACTCAAAAGAAGTTAAAAAAAAATTTAAAAAATAGCACCTCACATCCTTTAAGAAAGATGTTGACAAATATTATTGTCACCCAACTGATGAGAAATGATGACAAATGAGGTCAGGCTTCACGGCATATCATGCAGCTAGTTAACAACAAAAACAAAGACGGGGACCCAGATCTACCAACTCTCTTAGTCAATACACATTCTTCTAACCTAGTGGTCCATTGCATCTCATGATCCTCCAAACCACATTTCTCAAACTCATGGATGAGATCATCCAAGGAGCAAGGGCAGGTGCCAGAATAACACGGCACCTCCTCCAGGATTGTCAACTTCCAAAAATAAGTAAATATCAAAATAAACAGTATTGCACAAAAGGATACAAAATTTCCACAAATACATTTTTCAAATTTTAGAAATTGGACCGTGGACATACATTCACCCTACAAATAGAAATATTTTGGTATACAAGTATGGGATGCATTGCCCTATGAAGTTCTAAGAAGTGCCCCCTCTCAGGATGGTGGCAGAAGGGAAACCATCCAGATTTCTTAAGGGAGCAGTCCCCCAGAAATAAACAGTGACTTCACAAAGATGCAGAGACGACATGAGGGATGGTAGGGAACACGCCAAGCCATCACACTCAGAGGAAAGGGAAACAGGCTCGGTCACTGCCAGCAAAAGGCTGACTGGAAACCTGGGACCCGTCAGCATTTATCTGGGGATCTTCCACCTCTCTGTCCAAGGGACTCGGCTGTGCCGACCTCCAACCCCTTCCCACTGCCTGCCTGATATGGCTCTCACGCCCCCCACTCCCCCATCTGCCAAACTTGCCCAAATTTGTAGAATGTCGGCCACAGACCACAAGAGTTGCTCTCCCACAATCGCAGTGGGAACAGGTGGATCTGCAACAGTTGAATCAATTTCCCCACCTCTGAAAGCCAAAGACCTTTTTCCCGCAATTCTGACATGTGCCATTTTTCACATTCTAACATCTCTACAATCGGGACATGTGTGACAACTGATTTTGACTCTCAGTGGCAAAACATTTTCCAACGGCACATCTTAAGTCAGTACAATCTTAAATGCGATCAAACGCAATATTTGAAAACAATGGCCTGGTCATTGGCAGAACTTTAGTCCGTGCCAAGATAAGCACAAGAGAGCTCCTTTGTCACTGGCAAGGATATGTTACATCGTGTTTTATGGTTTTCAGTTTTTGCCTAATCCAGGCCACTGACAAAGCCAGCTCACGGCCAGGTCGTTAGAGTAATAACTCAAGGCAGTGATGCAAAAAGTCCTCCATGCGTCACTCCTACACGGAGTGGCTGGGTCCTCCGTTGCAGTGAGCAGAGCCAGTGAGGCCCTGAGCACCGCGTCAGCTTCCACAGCACCCTCTGTGAGCAGTTAGTTGGACAGTGAAGTAGTCCTGGCCAGGGTCCCCAACAAGAAAATACGGAGTCAGGACAGCTAAGATAAAACAGCACTAACATCCTGTTTCACAGCTTAGACAGGAGCGCACTAGCATTCTGCTTTGCAGCCTTTGCAGAATTGACTTCTGCAAAACGTCCTAAAATAAGACAATTAACCACAAAGCACTTGTCACTATCACAGGCAAGGGGCAGTTAAGACATAAGCCCCCAGATGTCAGCAAAAAAGACCATCAGCATGTTGACATTAACCTAATAGGTAGATAATGTGACCAAAGCCCTGATTGGCACAACTCAGCACAACCTGGCTGCTTAAGATAGTTCCACAGAAGAACTCATTAAAAACCGCTAAACTTAGAAACTCCAGGGGCAACCCACTCAGGTCCCCCTCCCTCTCCAGGAGCTTTGTACTATCCCTCAGTAGACTTTGCTCTGCTGACCACCACTCTTCGTCTGACCTACCTCTTCTTTTTTCCAAGCGGCATGACCAAGAACCACGGGCATTTAAGGCAGAGAAATCCTGAGACACCTCCATCAGCCCTGCCAGGGTATTTTGATAGCAAACAGGACTATTTCTCGGCATATTGGAGAAACACATGCAAACATCACAGGAAAGAGCACAAATCACATAAAATCAGTAGCATAGAGGGGGAAAGATCTCTAAGTAGCAACAGAGAAAACTGAAGTCTGATTGGCAGAGCTTTAAGTGGTTTCTGCGAAAGGATTTTCTTGTTTTTACAAGGACATGAGCCACCAAACCTTCCAAAATGCTTTCTAATGTGAAAATCAGTTCCAGTCTAACGACATAAATAAGCCACAAAGAAACACCCTGAAATTATCTCCCCAGGAGCCGTTCAAATAAAATAACAAGGACTTAAAAAAAAAAAAGGAAAGAAAGAATGAACAAAGGCTTCCCCCTCCCCCTTCCAACTTACTGCCCATAGTGGTGAAGACTCCCACGAGGAAATCAGCAACCTGGATCTGGTCTGGAGTGCCTTGCAGAAGTCGCAGACCCTCAAAAAACATGCGAGCCGCTTCATAAGGTTGGCGCAACCGCAGTAAGGAATAGCCAGCTTGGTAGTATCCCTGGGACAGAAGAAAAGCAAAACCGTAACTCGCCCATCTCTTCCAACCAGCTGCTAAAAGGAAAGGCAAGATTGATGAGCTGGGGAAATGGACCGTAGAGGTTTCACTTCTATGAAAACACAGATTTCTAACAAGCACTGGAGACAGCATTCCCACATCATGCTGTGTGTCACATTTTTCCTGTCATTTTTTAACCGCGAAGAAAATAATCACTTTCAAATCCATGACTGATACAGCATCTAACACATGACACGGAGCGAGGAAGCAGGACTGGTTCCAATTATATGTGTGGCTTATTTATTCATGCCTCCAGTCACAGCCCGGGCAAGAAGAGAATGAAAAAATCCTATGATGACAGAGTTCCAGAAAAGAATGAGATTGTCATGTAAACACAGAAGTTGTTCCCTGTTCCTTTCAATCAAAGTAAACACAATTTCCACTGGGTATGTAGCCGAGGGAAAAAAAAAAAAATGAAAATGGTAATGACAAGCATTGAGATGTATTGAGCTCCACATTGTGGGCCATGTACACCAGAGGCAAAATTTTTTTTCTTTCTGTAGAGGAAAATTACAATGAGTAACAGAGGAAAATGGTTTAGTTTTGCCTATATACAAACTGCGTACGTTGAGTAGGAACAAAATGACACTGCTTTTCTCCTCTTTGATTCTCTAAGGGAATCCACACCAGGACCTACCAAGACAGCATTCTAAGATAATAAATAAAAAGTGTTCACCAACCAGCTTAATAAAAAAAAAAAGCAAGCACTTAAAAATTCCACTTGACACCAAATCTCTGGTTATTTATCGATTTGTTTTCACCTTCATTTGAAAGTCTAGAACCTCAGATAACAATCAGAAAAAAGGGGTGGGAGAAGGTGGGTTTTTTTTTTCCCCCAACTCGGTAAGCTGGATACAGAATTCCCCACTTCCTTGCCCTACTCAGATTTAAGTTTCTTTCATCTTTTACTTTGGCAGGGGAATGAAGAGGATCAGAATATGCCACCCCAAAATATGACACTTTGGCATAAGGGTTATCTTGAGCCCAAGGCATTTGAGATTCAACAGATGTAGAAAGAAGCCTTCTTGGAGCTTCCCTTATCTGACTAAAAGCAGAAAGTCTAAAAAACGAGGACTGCCATAAATCCCCTCTCCCAGGGAATTTTTATGGCCATGAAGAAGACAGAAATCGGCACTGTGGGACCAACACTGCTAAGCATTGCTAAGATAGCCTTGCTTTCCCTCCCATTAGTTTCCCCCATGTACGTGTGTTCCCACAGTCCGGGGCTCCAGATGTCTAAACCCCTTTCCTTTGTCTGACCTGTCTCCACAGTTTATTGCTCTCTGTTAAAAATGTATATGAGCTCTAGGGGCGGGGCTCAGTCAGTTTTAAGCTTCTGACTCTTGATTTTGGCTCAGATCATGATCTCAGGGTCACGGCATCAAGCCCCTCGTAGGGATCTGCTCTCAGTGCCAAGTCTGCTTGTCCCTCTCTCTCTGCTCCTCCTACTCTCTCTCTCTCTCTCTCAAATAAATAAAATATTTTTTTAAATGTATATGAGCTCTCAAGCCTATCTGATTTTCTTGGGGTCTTTCCTAGGAAGGCCCCTGTGTCATGTAAAAATTATCACAAAATAAAATTTGTATGTTTTTCTCTTGTTAATTTGTCTCTTGTCAGTCAAATTTGCAGGGCCCCAGCCACTGAACCAAAAGAAGGAAGACAGAAAGCGTTCTTCTCCCCCTACAGAGGACATTTGGGAGAGAACCGGAGGTGGGAAAGAATGGGGAAAGAGGAAGACACCCAGGAGTAAGAATGGGGGCGGGTCCTGGTCGCTGTGCTGCCACAGACTGAGGCAGGCCTGGCCCCTCAAGGAAGTCCGGCCACCGCCTGAGGAATGTGCCTGAGGAATGTGCGGATGCCCCCAACTCCTTCCCTCCCTGCCCCCAATCCAGTTGGGGGATGGGGAAAATCCTAAAATGCCTCTGAGGAGATTTCCTCAGGAGTGCTTTCCCATTTTTAAAACTATTCAATAATTCCTAAAGTATCCATCCTCCAATAGAAGAGGCCTAAGGTAAAACAGACAAATCGCTCCCTCAGGGATGTAGAATCCGTAGGTCAAAGCCCCTGGCCACTTCCCGCTGTTCCACTTCTAGCAGTCGTACACAAAATGCAGACCCCTGAGGAAATCATGCAAACTCCTGTTTACCGAGTGCCAACAACTTGAACTAAGGTCTCTGAATCCTTGAAGCAACTCTAGGATCCTGGTGGCATCTCCCTCTACAGTCCGGGGTGGGGGGGGGGGGGGAAGGAAGGCTTAAGGAGGGAAAAGGCGCTCCTCCGGGCTGCTGAAACCAGTCCGCAACAAGGCCTGCGCTTTTCCCACCTCCGCGCCTCGCTCTCAGTGGTCTATATCACTAACGGGACACGTCACTGTATGTGCCTCAGGTGGCTCCTGAATGGCAACTCCATTATGGTCTCTGATTCTGCTTTCCGTCCTCCTCCAAACCGATAGTGAGTTACTCAAAAGCTGGGATGGTGTCTGCCTGTCCGTTTGTTTGCCTCAGGCATGAAGAACGTTGAGGTGCCTTACAGAATGGGCACTGACAGCATTTCAGCTGAGAAAAACAATCAAATGGTCGTTTATTGACCTTGGCTAACACCAGAGAGGGGCTGGCTGACTGGCCTCCCAAACCTTCCCTGATCTCCACGTAAGAAGTTCTTTCTGAAGAATCCGTGTCATGTGTCCCCGCAGCTAGCAAGTGAAACAATGATGTGAAGTGAAACTTTGCTACGATGAAACTTGAAAGCACCAAAGAACACTTTAGACTCCCAGCGGGGAGGTAACTACATCAGAACACAAGAGCTCCCCGCACACACACGGGCATTTCCACACTGGGCCACCATCATTGTCGTTAGTCTTCTCCCGAGGGGCTCGCATGCCCTAGGGGTATCTGTCTGAAGTGCAAAGAGTTGAATGCAAAGCTCTCCTCATATTTCCATTTTTAAAAAAGAAGGGAGGAGGGTCGCCTGGGTGGCTCAGTCGCTTGGGCGTCTGCCCTCGGCTCAGGTCATGATCCCAGGGTCCTGGGGATCGAACCCCTGCATTGGGCTCCCTGCTCGGCAGGGAGCCTGCTTCTCCCTCTCCCACTGTCTGCCTGTCTGCCTACTTGTGTTCTCTCTGGCAAATAAATAAATAAAATCTTTAAAAAAAAAAAAAGAAAGGGAGGAGAGGCAGCAGGTGAGGAGAAGACAGGCAGGGTCCCCGGCTGTCACCGTACCTTCACGTAGGTTGGATCCCACTGGAGACATTCCTTGGCTGCCACGAAGGCCTCATTCCATTTCCCAAGGCTGTAAAACGCACTGGATTTGTTGCACAGCAACACAGCCAGCTCCCTGGGGGGGACCCTGTCAGAAAGAACAGACCGGATCGGCGGTCAGTAGAGCTGTCTTTCTGCAAATACAGAAACCACCCTTGAAGGCCACAATGCTGGGCCTGGCTGCCACCATCACCAGTTAACGTCCCAGTTACACCTATCACGTCTGGCCCTCCAGCCCCCACTGCCCCAGAAAACCCGGGACAAGTCTGTCCCTCCTCACTCCCAAATCGTCCCCTCCTTTTCATGACAAATGTTCTCAACACCTCAGTTCTACCTCTGACTCATCTCCATGGATCTTTTCATTTTTTAGAGACCACCTTGGTGAAGATGCTGTGAAGGTGCTGATCGGTCCTAAGGATGGGAGTTCCCACTGAGCCTCAGCAGAGACCAGACACTGACTGGTGCAGTGTGGGGTGAGCCCCTCCACGTGCATGTCCACGCTGGATGGATGCAAGCGTATCACAGGAAGGGCCTTTCAGAACATGTGACCACACCATCCCCACGCACCTACCATGACAGGTGCAGGATGAGCACCGTTGTAGTGTAGAGACAGGGCAGCCCTAACATTTGCAGGACCCAGGGCCAGAGTGCAAATGGGGCTCACACACCCTGGGGCTAATCCGCACTGTCCAATATGGTAGCCACTGGCTCTGTGTAACTATTCATATTTAATTTAATTTAAATAAAATTTAAAATTCAGTTTCTTAAATGTATTAGCCACATTTCAAGTACTCGATACCCACATTTTGTATTATAGGACATCTTCATCATCATAGAAAGTCCTATTGGACAGTGCTAGCCTAAGTATTTGAAGATCATAAATCAAGTTCACAAAGTGTTCCATAAAATACGTTCTATCTTCCTACTTTACAATAACTGGTTCAAATTTAGAACGGTAGGAAATGTGTCAGGGCAGAGTGATCCAGGACTGCACCCCTGCCCACTCCCTCCACCTCAGCCTTCATCCTGCACTGCAGGAGGAACGATTCCAAGTGCTGTCCACACCCCTGAACTTGGTCAGCCCTGGGAAGAATGGGCTATGGGTAGGAGGTCTGTGAAGACCCTGGAAGCAGAGTCCATGGGCAAGAATTCCAGGGTCTTGGTACCTATGGAATGAACCAAAGGGGAGGAAAAGACTCTGGGTGGGTAAAGCCTGTGGCCCCACAGACTCCTGCCTGGGTGGTGGGCCCAGCTGGAGGGAAGCCACAGGAGGGCCCTCTAAAGCATGTCAGGGCGGGTCCCTCTTGCCTGGGTCTGGGCATAACACTACCAGGTTGGTGCCAAACCACAACAGAATTTGAAGACAAATGCAAAGTGTACCACAATATGTTAAATAAAGCCCAGGTGTCATTGGATTCAAAACACATGAGCAAAAAAAAGCCAGGCTTATACCTCTTTTTTACTGAATATTTTAATTGCAAAAGTACTACAAAATCATTATAGAAAAGTTAGGTGATGCAGATAAGCACAAATAAAAAGCAAAGTAAAAATCATCTCTACTACTGCCCCATCCTCAGTGCTTTATGTTTCCGGCTTCTGTCACTGCCCATCGTTCCCGCTAGCTGAAGGGACGAGGGCCCGAGAAGCACAGAAGGGGCAGTGGGACAGCCAAGGGGTGACTGGCAAGGAAGCTGTTACTGCAGGTGTCCAGCCCAGATACCCTGGCCAGGGCAGTCATCCCCAGCTGCAGTGAACACTGGCTGCCGCTAGGGGCTCCCAGTGCCCTGTTCTCCAGATTTGCCCTCAGCCTAATGGGATCTGCCCTCTCCCCAGGAAGTTATGCCCCTGCTGTGAACTAAATTGTGCCCTTCCATCCATATGTTGAAGGCCTGCCCACCACTGTGATGGTATTTGGAGATGGGGCCTTTGGGGAGGTAATTAGGTTTAGCTGAGGTCATGAGGTGGAGCCCTCATGATATGAAGAGACACCAGAGAGCTTCCTTTCTCTCTCTTCCTCTTTCTCTCTCCACCCTGTGAGGACACCGTGAGAAGGTAGCCATCTGGAAGCCAGGAAGAGAGCTCTCACCAGAAACTCAACTGGCCAGCACCTTGATCTCGGACTTACCAGCCTCCAGAACTGAGAGAAGTAAGTTCCTGTTGTTGACTCCACCCAGTCAATGGTATTTTGTTACGGCAGCCCAAGCTGACTAGTACAACCCCACTCCTTAGGACAACTCCTAGGGACCAGACAGCCATCAATAGATGGCTGGCTGAAGTGAGAATCAAAAGGTCAGCTCCCTTGCCCCAAAGTGGGACCAGCTCTGCAGTAGAGCTCATGCTCCGGAGCTCCCCCAGAGGGTCAGGCTGAAGCTGCCTCTGGTTGACACACCATCCCTGCCTGGAACCTTCCCCTGACCCATCCTGCTTCCCTCGGCCCCCTCCTCCTGAGAACATATGCTCAGTAAACCACAAGCACTAAATCCCTATGTCAGCTGGCAGTGGCCGGAAGGCAGGCTGCAGGTGATGGGCAAGGGCAGCAGTGTCAGGAAAGCCATGAAAGACAATATGTGAGGGTCCAGGCAGAAGTCCCATTAGTGGCCCCACAGTGTGGGGTCGGTCTACAGTCATAACCACTACACAACACTTCCTCTTTAAGAAAGTCAGATGCTATGGGCACCTGAGTGGCTCAGTTGGTTAGGCATCTGCCTTTGGCTCAGGTCATGATCCCAGGGTCCCGGGATCGAGCCCCACATCGGGCTCCCTGTTCAGCGGGGAGCCTGTTTCTCCCTCTCCCTCTGCCTGCTGCTCCCCGTGCTTGTGCTCTCTCTCTCCATGTCAAATAAATAAATAAAATCTTTAAAAAAGAAGAAAGAAAGAAAGAAAGAAAGAAAGAAAGAAAGAAAGAAAGAAAGAAAGAAAGAAGGAAAGAAAGAAAGAGAGAAAGAAAGAAAGAAAAAGAAAGAAAGAAAGATGCCTTGCACTCCAGGCCCAGCTTTGACACAGTTCTGATCTGAGCCAGGAGTGGCAGAATTACAGACCCAAACCAATTACACTCAACTCACATCCAGCTAGAGTGTAGACACCAAGGTGCTAGAAGGTAGGAAGTGGGAGGCATGGTTCAGTAATTTCATTCAGTGGCATTTCCCAGCACAAGTTTAGGCTGCATGCACCCCACAAATGACAACCTCTATTGCAGCTGTTCCCAAAGCATGATGCGGGAACCCCTAAGACCATTTCAGGTGGTCCACAAGGTCAAATATTTTCACAATGGTAGCAGGCTGAATAATGGTCCCTAAATAATATTACCTTTTACTGGCAAAAAAAAAAACCACCTTTGCAGATGTGATCAATTTCTAGATCGTGGGGGGAGGTTATCCTGGGTTAGGATTCAATCACAAGGGTCCTTGTGAGAGAGAGACAGGGGGAGACGTGATACGGAACAGGAGACAGTGAGACAGTGCAACAGCACACTGGAAGGATGCACAGTGAAGACGAAGGAAGGGGCCACAAGCCAAGGTGTGCAGGCAGCCACTCAAAGCAGAAAAAGGCAAGGAAATGGATTCGCCTCTGCAAAAGATTAGCCCCACCGACACCTCAATTTTAGCTTCGTGAGACTCACATTTCAGATTTCTGACCTCCAAAACTGTAAGATAATAAACATGTATTGTGTTAAGCCACTAAATTGTGGTAATTGGTTACAGTGGTCACAAGGAACTAAGATATTATGTGCCTTTTTCACACATTCTCTCACATGTACTCGAGGAATCTTCCAGGCTACATGATGTGTGATATCCCAAAGGACTGAATGTAGAAGCAGATATGAGAAGTCAGATGTCTTCTATTGAGAAAGAGCTCTGCAAAAATGAAAAATGTGCCACTCTTCTCACGAAGCTTCTGGTTTTGGAAAATACACTTATTTTTCATTAAAATATGCTCCCGAGGTTGACATGGAATGAGTTTATTACTGAAATTTTAAGGAGGTGATGAATACATATTTTAAATTTATCTTAGTTTTAAGTTCGAATCCTGGCTATAGTGATAGCTACAGCTTACATAAACAAAAGGCTCTTAGGGGTCCTCCATAATCGTTAAGCATGTCATGGTACTTAAATGCTTGGGTACAGGTCGACTTGAAGGGGCAGGGAAAGAGGTGAGCCTGAGCTCCCCGGGGAACGCACTGTAGCCAGGGCGGGAAAGGGCACAGAGAACCAGGAAAACGAAATAAATGACAGCGGAGACGCTGGGGCCTTGGATCATCCCAGGAACTCTGATTCCCATCACCAGACGAAGGGGGAAGTTGTGCAACAGTCCCCTGTGTTTCACTTTCCATTTCCCTATCACTTAGTATTCTCTGTGCAGTTTCTGAGCTCACAGAACTGAGAGGATACTTAGGAAGGGGGCGGAGAAAGAAAACAGAAACTAGGCGGTGTGGTAAGAAACGGGAAGAAAACATAAGTGACAGAGGGAGTTTCCATTTACTGAAAAAAACAAAAACAAAAACCAAAGGTGCGGGGTAAATCCCAGCACTTACCCCCACTGGTATAACTGCAGGAGAATCTGGATGGCTTCGTCGTACTTTCTGATGGCGAGAGAGAAGTTCCCGTTCTTCAGGACGTGGTTGCCAGCCTCTTTGAGCTGCTCGGCGTAAGCTGTGGGGTCCATCCTGTGAGGAGACGAACTTAGGGCTCGCCGCCCGGCCCCGCACAAAACCCGTCTCCCTTCCCGTCTGCATTGCTGGAAGTCTGCAGACGCAGTTTGTTCATTCTGGCCCCGCCCACCCGCAGAGAGCACATCCTGACCACGCCCCTCAAGCCCCGGGGACCAGACGGGGCGTCTGCTGAGCCCATTTCTTCCTCAGTTCTCGTCTGACCTGGGCGGCAGCGGCCAGAGCGATTCCATGTACTCCGTGGCAATGATCAGCCAAGCACTGAGGGAGGAGGCTGCTGCCAAGCACGAGACAACTCACAACCTCGCGGGTAGCGTGCGCCCGTGGAGTGGCAGCTATTCCCCAAACGGGCACTAGTGTTCCTTTCTCATTTACCCACCGCTACGGCCCATAAGGAGGCACTGTCCCCACTGTTCAGATGAAGAAACTGAGGCTCACGGAGGTTCAAGTCACTTTGCCCAAGCATCTGCTAATGGCATTCCCCGGTTCTGACATCACGTCCAAGTTTCTGCTCTTGACCACTGCACCACACCGCCTATCGGTACAAGCAAAACTCAGTGGGCAGTCCTCTCATTCTCTTGGGAGGGGGAAAAGGGAGCGGAAGGGCAGTTCCAAAGGCCTCCATACACAAGGGGCTAGGTCACAGGGCCACAACCACCGCCTCTCCCGCCCTCCTCCCTGCCTAAAACACTTATTAAAGTAAGCCTCAGAGTACTTGTCCCTCAGATTACTTCTTGCAGGTCACGACTTTTGTCTTACTCTTTTTGTAGCCCACAGACTAGCATATAACCGGTGCATAAATATTTGTGGTGTAACAGATGTGAAGGCTGGACCCAGACGGTTACCTGTTACTGATTCTGTCTGGGGTGGCCTGGGGAGTCGGAGACAAGTGACTGGAGCCCTACCTGCTGGTGGAGCCCAGGAGTGTTTGCTGTACAAAGGTAATAGAAAGGAGAGCGTCTAGGGAAGCCTGGAGAAGCAGCCACCAAGGAGGCAGAGAAAAGGTGGGGCTCAGAAGAGATGTCCCTTAGGATCTCCTCCTCTCAGGGTGGCAGTAGGAAGGGGAGTCTGAAATACAAGCGAGGACAATTCAGGTGTTTGCATAGGCCATGTACCTGAGTGGGGGGGGGGTCACACAATCTATGGGGGGGATATTATTGATCTTAGCTAATGAGTCATATTATTTTTATCATTTCAAATCTTGGTGAGGGGTTTTGGGACAGGGGAAGCAGATCCAAGCAGATATAAGTGGTGGCCTATTTTAAACCCATATGAGCTTACCAAGGATGGGGTTTTGGAACAGCGTTGCATTCCTCAGCCAGAGCTGAATCTGAATGAGGCTCATGGTTCCTAAACAAGTGAGAGTACAAAATTGCACCTATACTTTCCGTTAAATAATCTCTCAATGCCCTGACTCAAATTTACACAGAGATGACTGAGTTGAACATGAAAAAATGTTCAAGAGTTGATTGACTACAGATATAAACATGTTTCTCTTCTGAGTATTGTCAGCTATCTGTCCAGTTTTTTACACTGGCCATAACCAGACAACTAGGAAAAAGAAATCACCATTAACAACTGACAAAGATTAATATGCTTCTTTTGGGTTCCCTGCTCAGCGGGGAGCCTGCTTCTCCCTCTCCCTCTGCTGCTCCCCCTGCTTGTGCTCTCTTTCTCTCTCTCTTTCTCTCTCAAATAAATGAATAAATAAAATCTATTAAAAAATATGCCTCTTTTAATTTTTTTTATGAAGTAATCTCTATGTTCAAGGTATGGCTTGAACTCATGACCCCAAGGTCAAGAGTCTCATACTCTACCATCTGAGCCAGCCCAGCACCCCAATATGCCTCTTTTAGAAATACCTTTCCACTGCAAGAAAAGGCCATGAATTTGTCCAAAATGTGTAAGGCCCTAAACACACAATTCACACAGGAATACAAGTAATTTCTAAGTATATGGAGAGCAGATAAACAGAATCCCCCTCACTGATGAGCAAAGAAATAAAGAATTACAACAACAAGGTATCACTGGAAAATACTTTAAAAAATGACCCCAAATGTTGGGGTCATATACTACATCATGTTGCTTACAGGGGAAATATACTACGTCATGGACAGATTTAGTCTCATGGATGTTTGCCACAGTGAAAAAGTATAAATAACCCTAGATGTCCTACAACTTGTAATGGATTTGAATCAGTTATAGAATATCTATATGGTAGAACACCACACAGTTATTTCAAAAATCATTTTGTAAAAGAATATTTAATGATTGGCTAAGTTAGTAAATGAAAAATACAGTCTACATAAATAGGTGTATAACCCCAAATTGAATTTTTTTCAAGATTTTATTTATTTACTTGAGAGAGTGAGGGAGAGAGAGAGCACAAGTGGGGGATGGGGGCAGAGGGAGAGGAAGAAGCAGACTCCCCACTGAGCAGGGAGCCCAATGCGTGGCTCAATCCCAGGACCCCCAGATCAAGACCTGAGCCAAAGGCAGATGCTTAACCAACTGAGCCACCTAAGCACCCCCCCAATTGAATTCTAAACACATATAATATATTGAAAATATGCCAAAATGTTAACTAACAGCCACACCATTAGGATTAGGCAGGGTTTTGGGGTGCCCGGGTGGCTCAGTCATGATCCCAGGATGCTGGGATCGAGCCCCACATTGCGTTCCCTACTCAGCTAGGAGTCTGCTTCTCCCTCTCCCACTTGTGCTCTCTCTCTCACTCTCTCTCTCTCTCTCTCAAATAAATAAATAAATAAATAATCTTAAAAAGAAAAGCCTTAAAAAAAAGGATGAGGCAGGGTTTTAATTTTCCTTCTTGTGCTTTTCTGAATTTTCAACTGCTCTACAATGTACAACATTAATAATCAGAACATAAATGTTATTAAAATGAGACTCTTTAAGGGCTTAATTGAAGAATTTAAAAGCAAAACATTTCCACTGTATTTACAAATACAATAAAAACTATTCATGAGAGAATTTGGGTTTTTTTTCATACTCCTCTAGACACCAAGAGTGAGCTCTTAAGGCTAAGTGAGCAAATATCGAAAGTATTCCTTCGCTTGTTTCTGCTTTTTCTTGGTAAAATCACATCACAGGAAAGAGGGGGATTGCCAACCACCCAGAAGGCTTTTTGCTTCTTAATAGGATTTATTGGCCGTCACATTCTCACTATAGGGAAGAATGTTTTACATCTCTTCCTTAGAACACAGGGCTCAGTTGCTGAAACTTTTTTTTTTAACAACTGGGCCGTCTGTTTATAAGATGAAATCGTTGAATACAAGTGGTAAAGGCAATGTGCTTGATGGCTAATAGGTACTGAGCACCTACTATGTGCTTTATGTCAATCATGCCACTCTGTCCTTACAAGAAAGCCCATGAGGTAGTCATGATCGTCCCCATTTGACATACAGGGAAACTGGGGCTACTTGCCACAGTTACCTAGAAGGTGGTGGCGCTAGAATCCAAACCCAGGTGGTGTGACTTTAAGCTATACAGAGGCTCAAAGGTCAGCACCCAGTCAATCCCCCAGGCATGTGATGATTTGGTTGACACCCAGCACTCACTTCCAGTTTTGCTGGTGGTATGACAGCAGTTTCACACTTTGACTGTGTCCCTATCAGAATTCAGGGTCCTTTTGTGGGGAGGTGTCATGGGCTGCCTACTTACACCCAAGGAAGTTAGAAGCAAGAAAAATACAAATGCACTCAGATTTCGAAACAAGCAAATCTGAAACATAGCAGAACCAGGTTATTGTGTCTTTTATTACTTGTGTATTAACACATGAAATTCTGTAACTGACTTACAGCAATAGAGTGAAACCTGCAAACGGGTGGGCTTGAGGCCACTAAAATGGGCAGAGGGAGGCTTCACTTTCATACATTATCTGCGTTGCTACTCGAAATCTTGATAGAAAATTCACTTTTCTTGTTTTGGGTTTTTTTTTCCCCTTTTTATTAAAATCTTTTCAAAAGACCCCAAAACCAGCCAATGATCTAAGATGAAATCTGGAATGCTGGGAATAGAGAGTTCCAAATTGAGGCCAGGGAGAACAGTTCTTAAAATTGACTCCTTCCTACTCCCCACAAGAGAGAAGGCAGCCACAAATGGTCCGGGATAAAAATCCAAAGTCAGGAGGCACCTGGGTGGCTCAGCCAGTTAAGCATCTGACTCTTGGCTTTGGCTCAGGTCTTGATCTCAGGGTTGTGAGTTCAAGCCCGACATTGGGCTCTGTGCTAGGCATGGTGCGTACTTTAAAAAAAAAAAAAAAAAGAAGAAAAAGAAGGGAGGAAGGAAGAAAGAAAGAAAGTCCAAAGTCAGAACTCATTCTGGGGACTTCAATTAGTTTTCTTTGCCTTTCTTTTTTCCTGAGGGGAAGGGTGCAAATGGGGAAGAAGAGTATAGAGATTTTCTTACGAAACTCACTCATATTTTTTCAAAAGGCCTGTGGAAAACTATGAAGTGCTGGGCTCAAGCTTTTCCTACTTGGGTGTTTTAAATAGAACAAGAAAGACCAGACCATTGTGTTGGCCCCCCTGAGCTGTCTCACCAGCCTGCCATGGGGTAGGGGACAGAAGTAAAGCTGGGGAGGAGGTAATGGCTGCCAAGGGCTAGACAACCTGGGATCGTGGAGGCCATCCGAGGGTTCTAGAATTCATCTTAAATGCAGTTGGGAAAGTAGCAGTGTCCATTACAACTTTCTGTGATGATGGGGATGTTCTGTTCTGTACTAGCCAATACAAGAGCCACTAGCCACAGGTGGCTATGACACCTTTGAAATACAACTGGTCCAGCTGAAGAACTGAATTGTTTATTTTATTTAATTTTCACTAACTTTAATGTATACAGCCACAGGTGACCAGTGGCTGCCATGCTGCACAGCACAGAGCTAAAGGGTTTTGAGCGGGGGATTAAGAACTAACTGCATCAATGCTGGCTTTGGGCAGGATGGAGAGAAATGGGCCACTGTAAGACCAAGTCAGGAGGCAGACAGACTCCACGGGAGGAAAGCGCAGGGAAAGTCAACACCAAAGCTTTTAGTCAAACCTTACCTTGCATTACAGAAATAAAAGCTCC